TTCCCCTTCTCTCAAATGAGAAGGGTACAGAAGTTAACAAGTGCTAGCGAGGACTGGAGCCTCGTACGCCGCTGCTGGGAATGGGAAATGGTGCAGCCACTATTAGAGACAGTTCGGCGGTTTTTCAAAAAGTTAGACAAGAAAGACCTCACAACCCAGAGATTCTACTCTCAGGTATACACCTCAAAGAAGTGAAAACAGATAGTTAAGCAAAAACCTGTACACAGATATTCATAGCAGCACTATTCACAGTAGCCAAGAGGTGGAAACCACAGAGGCGTCCACCAACAGATGAACGGATACACAAAATGCAGTATGTCCACACAATGGAATATTGTTCAGCCTTAAAAGGGAAGGAATTGCTGACACCTGCTACAACCTAGATGAACCTTGAAAATATGATGCTCGGTGAGAGAAGCCAGACACCAAGCCACATGTTGTATGATTTTACATTGCATGAAATGGCCAGATTAGGGAAACCCACAGAGACCAAACGTCGCTTCGTGGTTGCCAGGGGCCGGGGGAAGAGGTGATGGGAGTTACTGCTTACCAGGCTCAGGGGTCCTTGTGGGGTGATGAAATGTTCCAGAACTAGACAGAGGTGGTGGATGCACACCACTGTAAATGTACTAAATGCCACTGTGTTGCACACTTTAAAACGGTGAGTTTTGTTATGTGAATTTTACCTCAATTTTAAAAGAGTGTGAGGGTTGGACTTGAAGAACTCCAGGGCCAGCAAAGTCAGATGCACACAAGGTCCAGTGAGGAAACACAATTGAGGGAAGGAGACAGAGACACGGCATGATCAACGGTCAACAGCAACAGACCCCTTGGCCTCAGCAATAGGGAGACCATTCCTTCATTCATCCATTCGTCCATTCGACTGTCACTCATTGAGCATCTACTCCATGCAGGCACTGCTCAGAGCCCTGGGCACACAGCAGTGAACAAGACTAACATCCCTGCACTCACGGGGCCTGTAGACCGGTAGGGGAGGAAGACAATGAACAAGGACATAAGTCCAATGTGTCGTCCCTCCGGCGGGGACACATGCTATGGTTGAGTTCAGGGAAGACCTCACCGAGAGAAGCTGACAGCCAAGTCAGGCTCTGAAGGCGGGGAGGGAGGGAGCCATCTGTCTCCAGACCTTCCTCTTGTAAGAGAAGTTGGACTTTTGCATTCTATGTGCAAGCTAACTTTTCACGTTATTTTAAAACGTGGTGCTGGTCAACCAGACTCCTCCAAGCTCAGGGCTGGGTTTGGTCTGTGGACTGCCAGTGTGCAGTCTCTGCTTTAGGTAGGAACATTCTAAGCTGCTCTAGTCGTTAATTAAGGGGGAAAAGAGATCCTCATTTAGAGGAATTTAACCATTGTTTAGAAAGGTTTTGGAACGGGTTTCACTCTCCTCACATGAGCTTGGTAGATTGCATCAGGGAAGACCTGTCTCAGGCTTGGCCCCAGGATGGGAATGAGAACAGGTGTAGGGACACCTGTGGAGACTTGGGGGTCAGCAGACCTGGGCCGCCACCCACAGGTTTCTGTGTGGCCCTGGCCAGCTCCTTTCGCCCCTCTGCTCCCTGTTTCTCATTCTGGGAAACGGGCCCCTACCAGATAGGGTTGTTGTGGATGATGAATGAGGCGACAGGTCCACTCCTTCCTGGTACCCACTGGCTTGTAAGTGATGGCTGCTCTGCCCTCCCCTCAGATGCACCCAGGGCCGTGGCTCAGAACTGCACACCCAGACGCGATACACATCAGGGCACGAATGTAGGACCAGCAACACCACTGCCCTAAACTGTGAACGAGCAATCAGATTGCAAGCCCCGGGATCTCTCGGCCCAGGGCCCTGCCCTGGGGAGCCCAGGCCTCTGCAAACATTGTAAGTGCATGATCCTCGGGCTCCCTGGGAAGGTCCGTTTTCAGCACAGACCTGCATGGCCCCCGGCTGGAGAAATGGGATACGTGGAGGCCTCATTGTACACTTGCCAAGTACAAATGTTCTTCCTCCAAGCAGAGGCGGCCAGGCTCAGCAGGAGGGACATGGGGGTGCCAATCCTGGCTGTGCCATCAATGTGCAATGTGATCCTGGAGACGTCACTGCCACTCCCCTGGCCTCAGTTTACCCATCTGAACCAGCTGGGCTACAGATCCTGGACCATCGATTCCAATATGCTCTGACTTTTCCACCACAGGAACACACAGTTGTGGAGAGAATCTCTGCCCCCTACAGGGACGCTCTGTAGACACAGCTGAGAGAAGAGGTGCCAGCCTTTCCTTGGAGAGCCCACAAAGGAGGGCTTAGCACCCCTCTGCGGGCTGGGGGCTCAGCCCGGCTCCAGTGTGCCCTTTCTTGCCAGCTGAGAGGGCCAGTTACAGTCCACTCATTTTTATTTGCAAAAGCCTGATTTCTTTTATACACAGACTGTGCATTAGATGATATGAGGGAATTGCTCTCAGTTCTTCCAACTATGACGTGTAATACTCTGTTACCAGTTTGAGAGAGCTCTTGAAATATTTATGGGTGAAATGACATGATCTGGGATTTTCTTGGAACATCTCCAGGAAAGAAAATAACAAACGAACAAAGAAATACATAGAACAAAATTGGTAGAGCATTGACCGTTGTCAAAGCCAGGTGAGGGCTATGTAGGAGGTCATTATGCTGGTCTCTCTCCTTCTGCATGTGTTGGGAATTTCATAATAAACCACTGGGGAAGCAAACTCCTTTTGCAATCACCTATACAAACACGTTCCAAGGGGCTCATCTCTAGAGGAGACAGAAACATCAGTTTCAGCGGTTGGGGTTGGGCAGGAGGGGATTGCAGGAGACTTGAACCTTCTGGTTAAGCAGTAATGACGAGTCACCTGCAGAGCCTGGCTGTGGCCCCCACATCTATTATTTCACGGGCACTCACGGCTCCCCTCCCCCAGGTGGGTGCTGCCATTGGCCCCTCCTGGAGGCCGGCTGGGAGGAAAGGGGCTGAGAGCCACCCCAGCCCCCCGCTCTTTATTTATTTTTATTTATTTTTTTTCCCCCAAAGCCCCAGTAGATAGTTGTATGTCATAGCTGCACATCCTTCTAGCTGCTGTATGTGGGACGCGGCCTCAGCACGGCTGGAGAAGCGGTGCGTCGCTGCGCACCCGGGATCCGAACCCGGGATCCGAACCCGGGCACCAGCAGTGGAGCACGTGCACTTAACCGCTAAGCCACGGGGCCGCCCGCTCCCCGCTCTTAAAATCCCTGCTCCTAACTGCTCTGCATTCATTGTGATTTTTTATTGTTTTATGAACACGTAAACAGAAAAAAAATAAAACATTTGAAGGTAGCAAATCCCATAAGAATGAAGAACACTTGAAGTGTTTTTTAAAGTCTCTTAAGTGTTTTCTAAGTGTTTTCTAAGTCTCTTAAGTGTTCCTGCAGGCCTGTGTTGTTCTCAGTAATTACAGTGGCCGAACTGAGAAATCACAGACAAATCTGAATCTCATCCTCAAGATGAAAGACTTCTGAAAAGCCTTTGAAAGCGTGGCTGTGAATCCAGCTGTGAATCCGCACACCCACCAGCAAGCCAGAGCGTGGGTGTGTCCAGTGCTTCCCTTGTCCTTGAAGTGTACATCAGAGCCCTAAATGCACTCACCCTCTGACCCACTAAGAACGGACTCTAATAAAACAGGACATGAAAGGGCCTCTGGAGGTGTGGGTAAGAACTAGGGATCTGGAGCCAGCCTACCTGGCTTTGAATCCCAACTCTGCCACTCCCAGCTGTGTGACCTTGGGCAAGTTCCTTAAGCTCTCTGTGCCTCTGTTTACTCATCTGTACCCATACTCATCTGTACCGTGGGATAACAGTCGTTCCTTACCCCATAGAAATAGCATGAGGACAAATGGATTGACACCGTGATGTGCCTAGCACGGAGTAAGTACTAAATAAATGTGAGCTGCTATCATGGAACCAGCGATATAGGCCATCTCAACCATCCATGGAGAGGACTAGCTCGCTTGTCTGTTTTTTCCACTCTCTATTGGACTGATGCTTTTGTAAATATCATAAGAATGGATCACTAGAAAGAATAAATGAAAATTGTAGAAAAGGCAGAATCCAGGCCACTGATCACAAGTCGTGGTTCCGTCAAATTGCCACATGCCTTTCTAAATGCTCTGTGTCAACTTCTGTACTCTCCTGTTGCAGGTCGGTGACAGTTTGTGGGCACTCTTTGAGGAGCACTGAGGTCCACCAATCTGCTTTTGCAATTGTGACATATTGGAAACAAGTCCAATATCCTATAACAGGGGAGAGATGTTCACGTTACCGTCCATCCATAGTGAGGAAGTCATCTTATCGTGTCTATTTCTGGAAGGGAGGGTGTACAAGTGAGTTTTTCTTATTTATAATTTTATCTATATCCCAAAGCTTTCACAATAAGCATATATTATTTTTGTAATAACAACAACCACAGGGGCCAGGATGCAAACCTATATGCACTGAAAGAAGCCATAGGGGCCAAGGGGACAGACTGAATAAAGGCCGCCAACTGTATGTGCACAATTTTAATCATTATTTTAAATTCTACTGGGGTGTCAGGCAGGCCAGAAGCAAAACTGGGTGCCTGTGTAAACATTTCTTTTCATGAAGTCAGTGGCCTTGGCCCATTCCTTACCCTAAAAACCTGAAGCCCACTCACACCAAGGAGCAGACAACTGATAACAGCCCAAACTGTCACACTTCCCAAAGATTTACATTTGAGAGGAGGGACAGAGTCTTAAACAGAAAAAACGAGTGACATCAGCATCATGGCAGAGTGAGTTGTTCCCTTAGTCTCTCCCCACTAAGTTACAACCGAATGGACATTCATTAACCAACAGAGAAGTCCCTACAAAGCACAACAGGACATCTGAGAGACCCACGCAGCCAAGCATCTGAAGGTGGAGGGACTGGATCTCTGGGCAGCAGTGGAAGGAGGTGAGTGGATCCCCTCCCCCTCCCCAACAGCAGCGATCTAGGTCACAGGTCCTCATGCAGCAGCCAGCACGCCACTATAAGGGGGCGGGGTGGGGCAGGCAGGCCTGCGTGGGAACGCTTTTGCTTTCGGAGTTGCAGCCCAGCCCGTGGGAATGCTCTACACTGAGTGGCGCCACTCAGACGTTGCGTGGGCGCCCCCAACAAGCCCAGCAGCCCAGGTGAACCACCTGTGAGTGCAGAGTGGGCCCGCGTGTAAAACAAGGTAATCCTCCCATCCCGCCCAGCACACCAGCTCAGATGGTCCCCGGCCAAGGCAGCAGTTCCACACCAGAGTCCCTGCGTGTGTGACCCACCAAGCAGCTGCAGCCAGCGGGCAAAAGCAGACAAGCCCTACCAACACGACTTCCAGCAGACATGGCAGGTTCAGAAAACACAGCTCCTGCCCCCCCAGAGGTGGCAGGTGGAATCTGCAACCTGATGCTACCACTATGCACTGGCAAAGGATCACTTCATCAAACACCATGAAGAAGTACAGTAACACTTCAGAGCAGAAGGAAAATGACAAGTCTCCAGAAACCAATCCTAAAGTCACAGAAACTTACAATCTAAATGACAGAGAATTCAAAATAGTTGTCATAAAGAAACTCAATGAGTTACAAGAAAACTCAGACAGACAGTTCAATGAGCTCAGGAATAAAATTAATGAGCATAAGGAATACTTCACCAAAGACATTAAACTCTAAAAAAAAAAACGAATATAAAATGCATATGGGGCAACAAAAGACCCTGAATAGCTAAAGCAATCCGGAGAAAAAAGAACAAAGCTGGAGGCACCACAATTCCTGATTTCAAAATATACTACAAAGCTATAGTAATCAAAACAGACACACAGATCAATGCAACAGAATTGAAAGCCCAGAAATAAAACCACACATCTACAGACAGCTAAGGAGCCAAGAACACACAATGGAGAAAGGAAAGTCTCTTCAATAAATGGTGATGGGAAAACTGGACAGCCACATGCAAAAGAATGAAAGTAGACCATTATCTTTTGCCATACACAAAAACTAACTCAAACTGGATTAAAGACTTGAAGGTAAGACGTGAAACCATAAAACTCCCAGAAGAAAATACAAGCAGTACACTCTTTGACATCGGTCTTAGAAGGATCTTTTCGAATACTACGTGTACTCAGGCAAGGGAAACAAAAGAAAAAATAAACAAATGGGATTTCATCAGACTAAAGAGCATCTGCAAGGCAAAGGAAACCAGGAACAAAATGAAAAGACAACCCACTAACTGAGAGAAAATATTTGCAAATCAGAAAACACAGCTCCTGCCGACAAGTGGTTAATCTCCAAAATATATAAAGAACTCATACAACTCAACAACAACAAAAACAAACAACCCGATCAAAAAATGGGCAGAGGATATGAACAGACATTTTTCCAAAAAAGATATACAGATGGCCAACAGGCACATGAAAAGATGTTCAACATCACTAATTATTGGGGAAATGCAAATCAAAACTACAATGAGATACCACCTTACACCTGTCAGAATGGCCATTTTTAGCAAGACAAAAAATAACAAATGTTGGAGAGGCTGTGGAGAAAAGGGAATCCTCATACACTGCTGGTGGGAGTGCAAACTGGTGCAGCCTCTATGGAAACCAGTATGGAGATGCCTCAAAAAATTAAAAATAGAAATACCATACAATCCAGCTATCCCACCACTGAGTATTTATCCAAAAATCTTGAAATCAACAATTCAAAGAGACTTATGCACCCCCAAGATCACTGAGGCATTATTCACAATAGCCAAGACGTGGAAGCAACCCAAGTGTCCTTCAACTGATGAATGGATAAAGAAGATGTGCTATATATATAGATAATGGAATACTACTCAGCCATATAAAAGAGAAAATTGTGCCATTTGTGACAACATGGATGGCCCCTGAGGCTATTATGCTAAGCGAAATAAGCCAGACAGAGAAAGACAAACACTGTGTGATTTCACTCATGTGTGGAAGATAAACAAATACATGGAGAAGGAGAACACATTAGTGGTTACCAGAGGGGAAGGGGGTGGGAGTGGGGTGAAAGGGGTAAAGGGGCACATATGTACGGTGACAGATATAAACTAGACTGTTGGTGGTGAGCACAATGCAGTCCATACAGAAACTGATATACAACAATGTACACCTGAAATTATACAATGTTATAAACCAATATGACCTCAATAAAATAATTGAAAAAGACAAAACAAACAAAGATACAGAAAAAAAAAAACATGCTATTTTCTTTCTTTGATCCTGTACCTGCATGGAAACTGAGGCTAGGTTTTATCTTGGAGGCTGCAGGGACAGCAGGGAAAAAGCTCTTTCCTGACGACTTTGACAGCTGAGGGAGTGCAGCGGGGTGCTGGGTCTCAGCCACACGGTCCATGGAGAGGGGCTGAAGTTTCTCTGTTGCCTGCAGGGAAAAGTCACATAGCAGGGCAGGGGAGCAGGTAGGGAGGAATGAAATGTCAAGGTCATTCTGAGCTGAAGCCACGCACTGATTAAGCGCCTACTGTGTGCCAGTAGACTGCTGTAGGCACATGGGGTGCCTCAGTGAACATCATGGGCAGAATCACCACTAACATTCTCCTTCAGCCCCCAAAGAAGAATGAATGAATGCATGAATGATGCTCTTCTGGCTGTTTATCCCTCCCATTTTCCCTGCTCAACCTCCCCACCCCCATGGAGGGGGTTCTCATCCAAACCCACAGTGATGGTTAACATTTAAATCAATAGACCGAGTAAAGCAGATTGCCCAGGAGTGGGCCTCACCCAATCAGTTGAAGGCCTGAATAGAACAAAACGGCTGACCCTCCTGTGAGTAAGAGAGACTCCTCCTGCCTGACTGTCTTAAGATGGGACATTGGCTTTTTCCTGCCTTTGGACTTAAACTGAAACATTGGCTCTCCTGGGCCTCCAGCTTGCTGACTGCAGATCTGAGATTTGTTGGCCTCCATAATTGCATGAGCCAATTCCTGATAATAAATCTCTCTCTAGATAGATAGATAGATAGATAGATAGATAGATAGATAGATCGATCGATCTACATTCTACTGGTTCTGTTCCTCTGGAGAACCCTGACTAATATACCTTCTGATCCCTGCTCCTGTCCTACCTTTAGGTCTGCTGAGTAACTGCCAGAGGAATTTCAGTCTGAGTCAGCCAGCACCCACTGTGTGTCTGGTAGGGCTTGGGTGCTGGCCAGCACAGGCAGAACGGGGATCCATCAGACCCCCGGCCACTAGCCCCCTCGCCCGGGGAGGAGCTGCTCACTGACTCCCCCTCCCCCTTGAACGTACCCAAGTGGCCAGTGGGGAAGAAACCCCACAAAGTAAAAGCTGTTTCCCTATGAGCCTGTGTGGAACCCACCCGCCCACCTAAAATGGTGCAAACACCATTTTACCCACTGCAGTCAGTCTGACACTGCAGTGTGCTCTCGGATTTTTGCTTAATCCTATTCTGTTGGGATTCTTCTGCCTTTCATTGTCCAATATCCCAAGAAAGTCACGCGAAATGAAAAGCACTGTTTGGTGGGGATGCTGAGGCATTCTGTGTAACAGTCAAAAATGAAAGACAAGCTAAGTGGCCCTTTAAAGGGGACCGAGAACCACAGAGTGGCCACGAGATGGGCTCGTGTGTGGAGTCACTCCTCTGCAGACACAGATGGAGGGCCCGTCTGGGCCGGGCCAGCGCCAGACACCGGGGGAAAGAATCATCTCATGGCTGTTAGCACTTCACAACTCACCTCCCACACAAGCACTGTTGAGTGATATGTTCTAGAACCAAGTCATGGCCCTTTTTTTAAGTTAAAATACTATGCTATGTGGGCACACGAATATTTATGAAATAATGTTAAGAAAAAATAAATAGCTCACAAAGCTGTATTCCCACTGGGATTATAACCACATAAAATACGTGCACATGTGGCCTCAGATCAGAACGGAGCAGGGACATGGTAAGTGGGATGTGCTGTGGGGGCTCTGTTTCTTCCTCTATCTCCTTTGTCAGGGCCCTCCTGCATCCACTGTGACTCTGATGGGGTCAGTCCCTGACCCTCCCTCTCTGCTGCTCTGGCTGGACCCCTGGGACAGGGGCGCCCGGGCTGCTGTCCACCCACCAGCTGCACGCTCCAGGTGAACGAGGGTGACCGCCGCCTCCTGGCCTTCCTCTCCACAGAGCGGTCCCTGCACGGGCTGACATGGGGCCACCTCCCGTCTGCCGGGCTGGGGTCTGGGGCCACCTCCTCCGGCAGGTGGAGGGAGGAGCGGCCGCTGCCGCCCTCGCGGTCCTGCGCCTTGGAGCGCCGGGTGGCCGCGATGAGGGCGATGCTCTTGGTGCTCACGGCCATCTCCTTGAGGGCCTGCGCACTCAGCCCAGCCTCCGCCGCCGTCTGCACGGGGCCCAGCTCCAGGCCGGCCGGGGAGCACAGCTTGGACACCAAATTCTTCACGCTCAGGGAGCTCGGCTTCTGCAGAAAACCAGCAATGCCAGGGGGGTCAGATGTCACCGGGCTGTCACTGTGGCCCCAGGTTGGGCCCCCAGAAGTAGACCTGGAGACAGTGGCTCAAGGCAAGTAGTTTGCTTGGGGGGAACACCGTTGGGGGTAGAACAAGGGCCAATGAAGGCATGTGATGAAGCCAGTCCCTGGCCTGGGACGCCCTAGAGACAGTGCCACACTCAGGCCTCAGGGTCACCCCGCCCAAGGGCTGCTCCCAGAGTCACTGACAGGGGGCCTCCCCTACGGGACCCTAACTCCCCAGCACCCCGGCAAGGGCAGGAGGGCACCCTCAGCACAGTGACCCAGAGGTTGGCGGCCAGAAGTGTCCAGAGACCACGCCCTTGTACTATTAGGAGTGATACTGAGTACTAATAGCTTCTGAATAATGGTTCATAAGAAAGGAGCAAAATTACCAATTTGTGAAGATTCCCAGCTTTCTCTCCGCCCCCCCAAGCCCGCCCATCTGCCAAAGAGATTCTGACATTTGCCATTTGGTTTCCCACCGCCTGGCCCCACCCCCAAGGAAGGGGAGACTTCTCGCTGGCTTGGCTGGGAGAGAGGCCAGGCTGATCACACCAAAGAGGGATGGAAGGAAGTGGAGGGAGATAGGAAGTTCACGTTTGCTCGGTGTGGGAGGCAGTTTGGGGCTGGAGACTGAGTGAGATGGGGAATGAGAAGAGTATCTCAGGGGATGGGAAAAGGCCCCTTTGCTGTTATTCTAGAGGAAGAAATTTCCTTTGGGTTGTTACACCTTGTTTCCTTGAATTTGGCACCACTCTGAGGCTCCTGGATCCATCACTTTACAGGTGGAGAAATGGAGGCTCAGAGACATGAAGTAACTTTCCCAAGGTCACACAGCTAGCAAGGGACAGAGTGGGGATTTGAACCCAGGCCTGGCTGCTTCCTGAGCCCAACCTCTTAGCAATTAAACGATACCGAGCCCCAAAAGCGCCCACACTCTGGAGGAGGGGAAACCCAGTGGGATTCCACAGGAGCCCCTACAGAGCTTTCTGATTCCTTTGCTCATTTAATCCCACGGAGGGAAGTGATCATCCCCAACTCCCAGGCGAGCAAAGTGAGGCTCCGCAGAGCCACCAGGAGCCAGCAGTAGTCATCACAGGGCGACTGCCTGAGCTCTCCAAGTCTCACTTCTTGTCTACGAATTGAGGGTAATGACCACCCCAGGCTCATACAGGGCTGGTGGAGTGTCCGTAGTGCTGAATGGTGTCCTCCAAACCCATGTCCACCCAGGACCTCAGAATGAGACCTTATTTGGAAATAGGGGCTTTGCAGATGTAATTGAGTTAACAATCTCGAGATGAGATCATCCTGGGTGGAGGGTGGGCCCTAAGCCCAACGACCAGTGTCCTACAGGAAGGGAGAACAGAGACACAGAGAGGAGAGGCCACGAGAAGACGCAGGCAGAGATGGAGCATGCAGCCACGAGCCGAGGAACACCTAGGGCCACCAGGAGCCGGGAGAGCCAGGAAGGAGCCTCTCCTAGAGCCTTTGGGGGAGCGCGGCCCTGCGACACCTGGATCCCGGCCTTCTGGCCTCCAGAGCTGGGAGAGGATACATGTCTGTACAGGTTCAGGCCACCCCATCTGCTGTGCTTTGTTACAGTGGCCCCAGGACACTAACTCAGTGACTGAAACACTCCACTAGGTGCCAGGCCCAGTGAGTGGTCACTGCCATTGTGACGGCTGCTTGAGAAGAGTCCTTCTGGAAGCTTCTCTCCCACTTGCCCCTGGCCCAGCGCAACTCTCATGGGCCCCGACGACCCTGTTGGGGCAAGGGAGGCCTCCCCAGGGCCCAGGGTCCTGGTTAGCGCCGCACACACCGACCTCGTGAATTGGAGGAGTTAGCAGGATGCAGAGGGAAGATGGAGGGAGAAGCGAATCTTGCTTTCCAGGTTTTTTCGATGGTGTGGCTTTCGATGACTTGTAACCATCACTGTGGACAAAACACAGAGGCATCAGCAGAGCCAGCCGCCAGGGCCCCTCTCTCCTCCATTGTGGGCAGGGGAAAACCAGAGCCTGAACCTCCGGCCGCTGCAGCCCAGGTGTCGGGTCAGGGCGAGGGGCCTCTGCCACGCTGCTGTGCTCTGGGGCCAGGCGGGCTCATTGGCCCCCTCCCTCAGGCATCTAGGAGCTGGTCACCCACCCTGGGAGAGCCTGTACCTGCAGCCAAGTGTGCACTGGCTCCCAGAAGGCATGGCCTTGCCCTGAGCACGCTGCGTGCTAAGGGGGGGAGACACACATCAACAAGAGGATGACTGTGGACAGCAGTGCCAGTTGTGACACTGCTCTGAAGGAGAGATGAGCTGTCAGACTTCCTCAGGCAGGCAGTCAGGACAGACCTCAGTGGGGAGGCTGGCAGAATAAAGAATCGATCTGGTCTTTGTCCCAGGTCCTGGCACCAACGCCAAAAGCCCTTGGAGCATCCTGAGTGACAGGAATGTCTTTGTATGCTAATGAGGTGACTCCTGGTGGCCCCCAGACAGCATCAGGATACAGGCTGCTCACCACAAAGACCCACCAGGCGGCTAGAGGCGGGAACTCTGGGCCAGCTGAACCCCCAGGAGGGGAGGGGCCGGAGACCGAGGTCAATTCTGTGGCCAATGATGTCATCAATGATGCCTATGCAATGAAACTCCAATAAAAACTCTGGACACCAAGCTCGGGGGAGTTTCCTGCCGGTGAACACATCAATGTGCCAGGAGGCTGATGTAGCCTGACTCCACAGGAAGTGTAGACATGGAAGCTTTGCATCCTGGACCCCTCCAGACCTTGTCCAATGTGTGTGCTTTATAGTAAAACTAGAATCCTAAGTATCGTGTTTTTAGTGAGTTCTGAATTATCAAACCCAAGGGGGTCATGGGAACCCAGATGGACAGAAGTGCAGGTGGCCTGGGGATTTCTCTTGCAGCTAGCATCTGATGTGGGAACAGTCTTGTGGAGAAGGGAGCCTGTCACTGGTGGGATCTGGCATTGACTCTGGGCAGTCACTGCCAGAACTGAACGGCCGTACACCCTGTCAGTGTTAGACCAGTTGGTGTAGAAACAGAACAAGAGGGAATACATAAGCTGAGACCCAAAGAATGAGAATGAAAGCCATACCAAGTGCTGGAGGAAGAACATTCCAGGCAGGGGGCACAACATGGGCAAAGGCACTGGGGCAGGGACCAGCTTGGCACATGCAAGGCACAGCAAGGAGATGAGGATGGGACAGAGCCATGTGATTCCCTATAGGACTGTGTGGAAGACTTTGGCCATTGGAGGGGACAAGGACCTTTGACAGACTTTCAGCTGGAAATTTCCATGGTTCTACTCTTCCACTGTAAAAAGAACAGAGCATTTCTAGCAGCTCTCTGTGAAGTCAGGTCACCAGTGACCGTGTAAGAACAAGACACCAAGCACTGAACCCAAGCACTGACGAGTGGCCGTGGGCTCCTCACCTCTGCCTTCTCATCCACAAAGTCGGGCAGTAATGACCTGCACTACTGAGAAGGTTGTCAGGGGCTCGCCAACACCATGGTGCTGAAGCCCACGTGAACTGGCAAAGCCTCTGGGTGCCACCAGCAGAGCACAGGGCAGTGCAACACCATGGCCAGGAGCAGGGACTGGGGACAGACGCCCACGGTGAACCCCGCACAAGACCCTGAGCCCCTCCAAACCCATGCGCACGTGGAACGAGACCGTGCACACACCCAGTCTCCACGAACGTGCCACGGTGGCTGGAGAGGCCCCAGCCAGCCAACACAGAGGGATTAGAGATGGCCACCAAGGGCAACAATGTTTCTTACACCAGCCCCAGAATTAGGACATTACATGAGAATCTCCCTCGGGGTCAGAGAGCAATCTTTACCCTCTCCTCACCTGCCCCTCGCACCCACAGGGGCAGCTCCTAGAGGACAGGGACTGTGTCCATCTTGTTCACTTCTTGGTGCCTGGCATACAGTCGGTGCTCAATAAACATGTCATGAGGTTTAGCAGATACTGCTGTTTGCCTCCCCAGCAGCCAGTCCCCACTTCCTTGATAACAAGCCCCAGTGTTTTTCGGTGTGACAACGTGCCTAGCCCCAAGAAACGCGTCATAGTTGGCCCAAGCCTGTTGTGGTCCTCTTTCCCCTTCTCCCTAGAGAATTGGCCTAGGAGTGAGCCTGTGATCGAGTTTCAGCCAATGAGTTGTTAGGAGACATCTACTGGGGGAACTTCTGGAAAGGGGCTCCCTTCCTCTTTTAGATGTGGTTATGTGAAGGTGTGATCTATGGAGCTGTGGCAGCCTCTTTGACCATAAGAGGAGACATTATTTACGTGCCAGGGACAGCAGAACAGAGATGGGGAATGCCTAGGGCCTCATGGGCATCACCAAGTCATTGAATTAAACACCCCAGGACCAGGGAGGTCCACCCACCTCCCAAATTCTCATCAGACAATACACATCTGTTTTGATTAGATCACTCTCATTACGAATTCTGTTACTCACAGCCAAAAGCATTCTAACTGACTCAGAGCCAACAGCAATTGGAAAGTTAGACGAGAAATGGAGAAAGAAGCACCACTCCCGTACCAGACTCCTACTTGAACGAGGCAGGCTGGTCAGCTTCCCTCCTCCACCCCCTTGCGTTTGGGTCATCACCATAATAGGAGCTCTATTTACTGTGTCCCCACCACATCAGGCACTTAGAGCCCTGCGGGGGAGGCAGTGTTGAACCACCTAGAGACGAGGCGCCTGAGGCTCAGGCACCACTCGCTTGACCAGATCAGCTGTGGGGCGCTGGCACACGCAGGAGTCCAGCCCTGGTCAGCCTGGCTCACCGGCTGGCTGCCAATCGCCCACAGACAGGGTCCCAGGGACTCAACCCTGCTAAAAGGTGTGCCGGGCCTCTGTCGTTGCCATGGGAACCTGGTGTGGGCCCTGCAGGTTGGGCCGTGGGTGGCATCAGCCTAACTCATCAGCCAGGAGACACAGCTCCTCTCCTGCTGTCTAGAACACGGAGCACTGTCCCAGCTCACAGCTTGAGGGGCTCCTTGCTGTCTCACCACAGCCCAGGCTGCTACTGCAGGTACGGCTCTGGGAGAGGCGAGGCCGAGCCCACCTCCGCTCTAGACTGAGGACGGAGGTGGGGGGCCCCGGGCTCACTCACAACCGACCTCCAAGCAGCCCGGTGCAGAGTGGGGTTGACACCTGCCCTCTGATCAGCGGGTCAAGCGGCAAGTTCACACAGGTGTGGGCCAAGGGTGGACAGCAGCTCGGGCCAGGAGCCAGTGGGACAGGCGTCTGGTCTTGATCTAGGGGGACGGGGCACTTTGTTTTTATACACACACGTGCATACACACAAACACACACAGACACGCACCCATATAAAACACACGCGTCTGTGCACGCATATGCATGCAAACACACGCACACACAAATACGCGTGTGCATGCACATACATGCACAAATACACTGTGGGAATTGCCCCTCCTCTGCCGGAGCCCTGGTGTCCTCATCACCCCAAAGGACCCGGGTTAGACGTGGGCGTTGCAGCAATGTCTGGCCTTCACCACATCCTGGTTGGAACAAACCAGCTGCAAAAGCATTTGGGGCAACACTCGGGAAATTTGACTACAGGTAGGATATGAGATGATGTTGAAGAAGTATCACGCATTTTGTTAGGGCTGATAACTGCCTTGTGGTTCTGGAGGGAAACACCTCATTTTTAGAACTGCACTCTAACATAGGGAGGGGTGAAATGTCACCATGTTTGTGTTTTACTTTAAACACGTAACCAAGAAATACGTGATCGCCATGGCCTGAATTGTGTCCCCACAAATTCCTACACTAAAGCCCCAACCCCCCCATGACTGTATCTGCAGGAGGTAAGTGAGGTTAAATGAGGTCACAAGGGTGGGGCCCTGATCTGATAGGACTGTGGCCTTATGAAGAGCAGAAGAGAGATCTCTTCCCCACATGAAGACACAGCAAGAAGGCAGCCGTCTGCCAACCAGGAAGTGGGCCCTCAGCAGAATTCAGCCTGCCGACACCTCAATCTGACGTCCAGCCTCCAGGACTGTGAGAGAAGGAATGTCTGTTGCCTAAGCTGCCCCATCTGAGTATTTTGTTACAGCAGCCTGAGCTGACTGAGACAGTGACAAAAACTGGCAAATGTTAACTATTGAAACTAGGTGACAAGTCTACGGGTGTTCAATTTACTGGCCTAAGTTTTGGTGTATAGGGAAATATCAAAACAAAAAGTAAAAAGAAGAGAAAAAGGGAAAAAAGCATCGAGGGTGGGAGGAAGTGGCTAACAGTGAACAAAAATAAATAGAAAGTGAAAATGGTCTTTTAGCATCCAACTCCACGACCTTAGAATTGCTCCGGGTAGCGCGCACCTTCTAGGATGTACTTGTTCTGCTTAAAACAACCCACGAGGAAGGGGACGCTAGCCACACTTCATGGGACAAAACAGGGGCTCTGCCACGCGCCCAGGGGCACGAGTCCCGGGGCCAGGACAGGGGAAGCTGTTACCTGTCCGTCTCCAGCAGCATCGGCGGCAGCTCAAACTGGGCGCCCCACGGGAGGTCCTTCCTGTCGTCCGGCTGGTCTCGGCTGGACTCCTCCGGTGGGGGAGAGATGCTCAGAACAGAGCCATCCTGGGACCAGACAGAGGAGCTGAGGGAGGCAGCTCGGACCATGGACACAGGCAAGCAGTGTCCTTGTCAAGCGGGGGTCCCTGAGGGGCCATGGGAACATCCCTTTCTTCCTGGCCACCAGCACATGGAGGAAACCACCTAGCAGTGAGGCCACAAGCCGCCCCATTAGTTCATTTCCCGCTGCACCTCCCATCCCAGACTGAAAGGAGGCTCTGTGCAAGGAAGGGGGCCAGGGTGTGGCCTTGATCCTTGAGCAAAAACGGTGCACAAATGAGATGTTGTCAGAGCACCCTCAAAAGCCTGCAGGTCCTCGAAAAGTCAAACATAGAATCGCCATAGGACCAAGCAATCCCACTCCTTGGTCTATACCCAAAGAATTGAAAGAGGCACTCAAACAGATATTTGCACACCCATGTTCACAGCAGCACTATTCACAATCAGCAAAAGGTGGAAGTAACCCAAACATCCACCGACAGGTGAACAGATACACACAATGTGGTCCATCCATACGATGGAATATTACTCAGCCTTAAAAAGGAAGGAGATTCTGACACCTGCTACCACGAGGACATTGCGCTTAACAAAATAAGCCAGACACAAAAGCACAAATACTGTATGATCCCATTTATATGAGGCCCCTAGAGGAGTCAAATTCATGGAGACAGAAAGTAGATGGTGGGTGCCAGGGGCTGGGGGAGGGGGTTGGGAGTCAGTGTTTAATGGGGATGGAGTTTCAGTTTGGTACAACAGCTTTTCTGAGTTCTGTGAGTCCTTCTAGTGAACTGAACCTGAGAATTGTCTCGGGGACCCTGACACATTCCAGACGGAAGGGACTGTTCTAGTCATGTGTGTGGGAAGAGCGGGAGAGGCCAGCACACAGCAGTAACATTCTATGAGCGGGAAGCCAGATGTCTGAGTGGTAACTGAGCCAGCAGACCTCGCTGGCAGCAGCAGAAGCTGAGAACTATCTAGATCCACACAGCATCACCTCCAAAGGTATAGACAATGTCGGTGCCTGGTACCTCTGTGACTGGGGGTGGGGAAGTGGCTTTAGATGCAGTCGGATCCCTGGACCCCCTCCCTCACGCCATGCTCTGGGCAACTGCCCCTCACCCACTCTGGCTAAAGCCTGGAAGTTTCTCCTTTCTTCTCTCGAGAAGGTAAAGCAGAGGGTATGTGGGCTGGGAGACACCAGGCCTGGCCGAGGGCACGGGTGGAGCTTGTGACAACAGCATTTGTCTAAATAATGAAGGCAGCGCCTTCCCCTGGGCCTTCTTCCCTAGGGAGACCCCAGGATCAGCACCAGACGCTGTCCTCATGCAAGAGCCTGGAGGCGCCCCCTGGAGAACCAACGAGCCCAAGAGGAAAGACCTAACACTAGGAGTGTCTTGCTGAGGTTCCCAGAAGATGCCTCTCCGGGGTCACCGAGGTAACAAGGTCCACCCCAGGCTCAGGCTTCCTTCTCACTGGCCTCTTGTCTCCCGTGCAGAATCTTGAGCAACAGCCAAGGGTTAGAGACGGTGGGTGAACAGCTCACTGGCCCACCCCAGGGATTCCTCCCTAGCGCAAATCTTCGGGGCCCAGGGGGTGCTCACCTCTCCCAAAACTCCCTGAGCCCTGACCCCAGGACATGGCCTGCCCAGCACTCCAGGTGCTTCTGGCTCCAGGCAGCCTGGTTCGTGGCGGTTCCAAGTTTCCCCTGTCCATTTCAAGGGCCGGTCCCCCCCAGGGGCCTGGTGCGCAGGCCAGGGGCTCAGAGCTGGGCAGGAGGGGACGGCACTGACCAGGAGGAGGCGGACTCACCCGCAGGGAGCTGGACATCACCGAGTGCAGCAGCAGCAGGCGGTTCAGCGCACCCTCGCCCAGCTCCCGGGAGTACAGGCGGTACCGCTGGGCCAGGGGCTCCGGCACCGGGACGCCACCGTCTGCAGGAGCAAGGGGAGCAGAGGTCAGGCAAAACGCCGTCACTTGTTAAAAAGACAGTATGTTGTTTTTGAAGTTTGAAGGCAAAATTCTTCAAATGATAAAAGAGGTTTTTCCAGAGAGTGAGATTTCTGTATATTGTCTTCTTTATGTGTCTCTCTATTGTAAAAATTTTCTTATTATGTTCATGTACTGCCTTTTAATCGTAGAATAATATTATTAACAATTTTAAAGCATAAATAAAATTTAATTTAAAAGGTAAAGAACCACTCCTAGGTGTATACCCAAAAGAATTGAAAACAGGTGTTCAGACAAAACTTGCAGACCCATGTTCACAGCAGCATATTCACAATGGCCAGAGGGCGGAAACAACCCAAATGTGCACCAAGTGGTGAAGGAGAAACAAAATGTGATATATCGATGGAAAAGGAACGGAGTTCTGATGCATGCTACAACAGGGCAAAGGAAGCTAGACACAAAAGACCACATAGTGAATGATCCCATTTATATGAAATGTCCAGAACAGGCAAACCCATGGAGACAGAGAGTGGATTCACGGATGCCAGGGCCTGGGGAAGAGGAACGGGGGGGTGACGGCTTCATGGGTACAGGTTTCTTTATGGACTAGTGAGAATGTTTTGGAACTGGACAAAGGTGATGGCTGCACAGCATTCTGAATGTGCTAAATGCCACTGAGTTGTACACTTAAAAATGGTTAAAATGGTGAGTTTTACCTCCATAAAAAAAGTTAAAGTAAGAAATTGAAAGATGGCATAATTACAGCTCTGACAAAATTTCACTGCTTATAGGCAGGGACGAGAAGGGGGGTTCAGTTATAGGTAACCTGTTTTCTTTTCTAAAACATTCTTTAATGCTCTTACAGTTTTTTAAAATAAAGTGTCTTTTCCCCACTATAAAAGGCCCTAGGAGATGCCTCCCCAAAGGGAAGCTCACTACTCAGCCTAAACAAGTGCTGACCATAAAAATACGATGAAGATGATGAGGATGTCTGAACACACCGAGCTCCTTCGAGCCCCAAATACTACACACACAAGCACAGACATGTGCACACTCGTGTGCATATAGACACATGGACACACGTGCACTAAGGCCTCAGGTGTGCTCTGCTCTCCCTAGGTGAGGCATCCTCATCCTTCAGGTCACAGCTCAAGTATCATTTCTTCCCAGAACCTTCTCTGACCACCACCCTCGGACGAGGTTGGGCCAGCCCCTATCTTCTGCTCCCACAGTTCTCTCCGTGTCTCCTTTACGGCTCTCGTCCCAGTTTGCAATTACAAAACTACTTATGTGATTAACTATGTGTGTCTGCCCCCGCAAAGGAGACCGTCAACTCCATGAGGACAGGTCCTGCCTGCTGCTCAAAGCCTGCATTCCGAAAAGGTTTATCAAATGACTGAATGTGTGAACAAATGAGCAAACGAACAGGAATTAGTTCCTTCCCCCTTCCCACTGCATCTGGCAGACAAGGAGAGAGCCTGGCCTCAGCCCAGAGAAAACTGACCTTGGAGGAGGGAACGGGAGCCGGGAGCAGAGGATGAATCCTAGCTCCCTTCCCGCCCCGCCCCGTGTGCTTCTGGAAGACACCACCCGCTACAAACACACAAAGAAATCCAGGAAAGGCCCTGCATCCTGCTCCATGCTCTGCGGCAACTCCGCAGTGTGGAAGGTAGAGGAATATCAGGGGGCTCCCCCACCCCACACCCAATCCTAAATGGAGCCCAGAAGACAGCACTTGGTTTCCAGAAGTTTCTTTGTCTTCTGATGACAGCGGTAACCTCAGTCTGACACAGCCGCCCTGTTGTCCCGGTGAGCAGCTGTTGGGTCACCAGTGAATTAAGAAAACACAGGACATGACAACTGAGAGCAAGGGCAGTCCAGGGTTTTCTGTCAGCATGGAGGACATTGTGGGGGCACAGGCAAGATTCGAAAGAGGCCTGTTGATTAGTAATATACCTATGTCAATATCCCGGGGTCATGGAAGACACTGTCCTTGTTTTAGAAAATATACCCTGCGATATTTAAGGGTATCCAAAAATGGTTTAGGAGGGAGAGACACAGAGAGAGAGAAAATGTAAAATAAAAGTGAAAAATGTTAATCCTTGGAAACTGGAGGAATTCTTTGTAGTATTGCAATTTTTCTGTAAGTCTCAAATTCTGTCGAAATAGAAAGTTAAAAAAGAAGAGAAAGTCTGAAGCAGGAGCTAAGAGACACCAGGAAGGAGGGGTACAGCCGGCACCGGAGCTGACCCGGAGCTGCTGCCCCCGGAGACGCAGAGGAGGGAAAGCCGGGCCAGTCGTAAGAACGCGAGGCTGCAAGACCCCAAGCATCCACTGGCAGAGATGGTGAAATAAACCACGGTGCATTTCTGCAGACAGGGCAGGTCACCATGCTCTTACAAAGTGATTTCCAGGACATCCAAATAAGTGAGAAAAAGGAGAGCACCGAGCAGTGTGCACGGTGTGCTCCTATTCGTGTAAAAAATCCCTTTACCCGCACACGCATTGCACAGACCATCTACGGCGGACGTGCCAGTGAGTGAGAGCAGTGGGCCGGGGCAGGGTGGGGACGGCAGGGAGACCAGCGTCTCCGCACATGCACCGCCTAGTCTCTCCAGAACACAATAATAAAACGCAGAGGTGCCGGGCAGGGGTGGCGGGGCGGGCTCACCCCGAATCAGCTGCTGCTGGTCCTGGATGATCTGCTCGCAGAGCCGCCGGTGCTGGTGGTAGCGCTGGATCACGAAGTCCTTCTGGCACAGCAGGTTCTTCCTGCGCAGGCTGTGGGCCTGCAGCTCCGTGTTCTCCACCTCCAGCTCGTGGGCCCTGCACAGCAGCCGCAGCACTTCCCTCTGGTCCTTGCTGATGGCCTGCCGGGGCAGCAGCTTCTCCATCTGCGAGGCCTTCTTCTTGGCGTTGGCCAGCCGCTGCTCCAGCCCGGCCTGGTGGAGAGACCAAGAGTTCAGGGCAGGTGCCCGGGGTCTGCTCATTCTCATGCACTTGGGTTTGCAAATCGTACTCACAAACACGCGGGTGAGCAGCTCTGAGGACGTGTGGCCGTCACCCTGCGGTAACCTCGTCCTCTATTGTCTGTGTGCGGACGCTTTCACATCTGGGGCCCTGCTGACCCTGCAGGGAGTGCCCCTCCCAGGGTTAGCCGAGTCCTAGAGATGGCAAACCACTCATCCACAAACATACCTTTCATGTGCAAACCAGCCAACCCAGTGCCCGCACCCCAACCCCTCCTCCACGGGGCTCTCACACTCAGGCCCTCATCACCCCAGTGCTGGGTACCGGACAACTGGGGACGGTCTCTCTGCCCCAGAGCCCACTGGAATTATCCAAACCAGCCAGTCCTAAGTCTGCTCACCCCGCCTCGCACGTTCCTTCCATGGAAACCACAACAGAGGCTCCTGCCCACAGTTCCCCCTCCCTCTGCCTCCTGACTGACTCTGGTGCTCCCCATGAGGCCCTGGTGACATTGCGTGCCCCCTCCTCTTGGGATCTGTGAGAAAGAAACTATCTTTTCAATGAGTCATCTCCGATCTACTGCGCTTACTGTACCTCAAATGTTCTGTTAATACACTGTATTGTAGAACGCACCCAGGGCTCACCTCTCCCTACTGTGTCTGCCACAGGAAACCAGTGCTGCCCGTTTACACTAGGAAGCCTTCACAAGCTGTCTCTGGTCCTCACAGAGTATTCTCTGAGGGGTGCCTTCTACACCCACCACTTTACAGACATCCTGTCTAGGACTGAGGTCCTGGTTCTCTCAAACCAAAGCCAGGCGTGTGCGGGAGCAGGGAGACGTGAGGACCAGGTCATCCACTACAGCCACCGGGAACCGCTCCCCACCTGCGGACACTCAGCCGGGAACCCCAGGAGACCCGCCAGTGACCGGAAACCTTACTCTGTGGGTCAGTCAGGGCTCCAGAGAAACAGAACCAATAGGAGAGGGCCACACATATATATATTTATGTTTGTGTGTGTGTATACATATATATATATATATATATATATATATATATATGTATACACAAAGAGATTTATTTTAAAGAACCGGCTCATGTGATTGTGGGCCTGGCAAATCCAAAATTTTTAGGGCAGGCTGGCAGGCTGGAAACTCAGGCAGGAGCTGATGCTGCAGTCTAGAGGCAGAATTTTTTCTTCTCTGAGAAACCTGTTTGTGCTGGTAAGGGCTTTCAACTGATTGGATGAGGCCCACCCACATTATCCAGGATAATCTTGACTTCAGCCAACCCACTGCAGATGTTGGTCACACTACAGAACCCCTTCAGGGCAGCACCCAGATTTGTGTTTGATTGACTCACGGGGCACTATAGCCCGGCTACGCTGACACACAAATCTACCCACCACACCATGTAACTCCACATAGGCCCCAGAAAGGAACACTCGGGCCAAAGCTGCCGTGTATGCCCACCCCAGAATCAGGGTCCCAGGAACAGGTCGGGTGACAACTTCCTGTGCAGCTGAAGAGGACGTGCTCCAGCCTTTTACTTCTCCACCCTCTGGGATTGAGAGGGGACCACTCCGGGAGGAGCTGGCCCAGCTCCCCTAGCATGATCCTCCTGTCCTCCCTGAAGTCCTCCCGACCCCCCGGCTGGATTAACAGCCCCCTCCGCTGGCTCCCAGCACCTGTTCCTACGTGTGTCATTGTGCCACCACACTGAATTGTGGACAGCTGTGTTTGTGTCTCTTCCCAATAGGTTGTGAGCTTAAGTCACACAGAGTATCTCGTTCATCTTTATGTCCCTGGGGCCTGGCATTGAGCTGGACACTTAAAACATTGAATTGTTTTTTATTGATTAACTAATTAAGTGACTCACATTTATATGCTACATTGCATCTCAATTTCTATATTTGGCTCTTGAAGATCATGCATGCTCTCTGCCAATGCACATTATTGGTTTGAGCAAAAGGCATTTTCTTATTTTTAACTGTTGGAGGACTTGGGAAGTGAGATCACGTAATCTCCAGATTGCTGTGGGCAGAGGTGATAATATTAAGAGGGTCTTGATTTGGCTTCATAGCTTTTAAGTGAAATAAATGCCACGCGCCTTTAGCAACGTGATGTCATAAGACGCTTTCTCCACTTGCCCGAAAACCCACCGGCAAACAGCTAACTAACGGGCTGAAAGAGTAGCCAGCTTCACTGGCACTTTCCCCAGCGTCTCCCTCAAGCGCCGGTTCTGTCATTTCTCTGAAGGGAGACTATTGACAATTAGCTATTCCATAAATAGCTCGTATAAAGAGCTAGGTCTTCTCAGAAGACAAGAACGTGAGAAGACTTCTTTCCCCAGGGAGGAACCTGGGGTCTGGGCGTCCTCTGGCCACGTCCCTGTCCTCCTACCACATGCCCGAGACCAGACTCGGGGGAGGACTGAGTGAGATGCCGACAGAGCGCACGTTGCAGAGGGTAAGGGGCTTGCCGCGTGGCGGGTGACTGCAAGGATCCCTGGGGGCTGGAGGCTCTGCTGGTCCAGGTGGAAGAGCCGGCCGTCCCAGGCAGGTAGGGGGTCTTGGTGGACCCCCATGCTGCCACTCCTGCCCCACTCTCACAGCCACTGGCTCCTCTGTCCCTCAGGGGCCTCCTGCCCTGTGCACTGGCCCCTGCAGCCCCCCAGTGTAGCCCTAAGTCTAACACAAAGGGGCACAGACTTCGGAGTCAGACCCCAGTCAGGTCCCATCTCCGCTCCTCCTGCTCCCTGGGGGTTAGGGACAACTTATCTCATCTCTCTGAGCCTCGGTTTTCCCAACTATAACATGGTCGTGATTGGCCCTGCTCCATGGGACTGCCTTAAGAGGGCCGGTGCAGCGGCAGCAATCAACAAGTGTTAGCAACCCTCGTCACCACCGTTGTGACATGGATGCGCCCGGTCCCTCTCCCCCACCTTGAGGGCTGCAGTTTTCCGCTGCTCGGCTAATAGCATGTTGACCTCCTCTCTGGCCAGAGCCACCTCGTGTGGCTCTGCGGACTCGCCCTCGCCCCCATCCGCGTCGGGCTCCACTGGCTCCTCGTCCCTCTCGGGCGTCCTGTCCCTGTGCGTCTGGTGCTGGGTCTTCTCCCGCTCCCAGCTGCAGCCAGACAGAGGGGTCAGGGGTCAGAGTGTAAGCCACACCCGGGCTGGGAGGCCTGGCACCTCCTGTCCCCAAGTCCCTGTTGGCCCTGGCTGGTCTACTCACAGGCATGGGCACAAAAATGGGGCAGATTTGGGTCTGCTATATGATCTCTTCTATATTTGTGAAAAACAGAAAGGTCTGAACAAAAACTGGTAGGGAATAAAGAAGCAGTAAACATTTGCAGCAGGATCGCCAAGTGATGAAGAGTACCGGACTCTGCAGCGGGCCCAGCTCGCCCCCAACCCCAGATCCACCAAGGCCGTCTGGGTGACCCCGGGCCACCTGCTGCGTGAACATGCCCTCTGAGCCTGGTTCCCTGGGCTGTAAAACTTGGATGACAGAGGACATCCTGGGGCTCTGCGAGGATTAACTGCGATAACCCCGGCTCAGGGCAAAACCCCCAAAGGTGCACGTTAGGGTGCCAGACGGAATCTACACCACGAGGATCATGTGGAAACTGCGAGAAAGGAGGACCAAAGGGAGCCAGGGCTGGGAGCAATGGACAGGATGGAGAGCGCATTTCCTTTTATTTAGAATTCCTTGAATGCAGGGATCATGCTGTTTGTATAATTAAGAAAATAAGCAGAAAGGATGAAGTAGGAGGAAGAGGAGAAATGTGGGGAGGACTGGAGAAGAAATGGACTTAAATCACAGCGCTGCTTAAGTTACCCGTAGCGGGGCAGCCATGTGTTCTAGTTTGTCCAGGGCAGTCCCAGGTGACACCCGCTGTCCCCGTGTGACTGCTAATAGCGGCCCCTCTCACCCTCACACACACCTTGGTCTGGATGATAAATTGTCTGGTCAGTCCCTCTACACATGGTCAGTCCACTCCCAGTAGGAATGAACAGGGAGTAGGTGTGGAATGGATGAAAGAGTCCTGGCCAATGGATGCACAACCTGGTGCACACCCACATCCCCTCTGAGCCTCCACAGCCTCTTCTGTAAAATGGGCTTGCTCCTAGTTGACCTGCCCGGGCTGGCTCTGGACTCCAGCCTGTGACAAAGAGATCAAAGGACCGGGAAGCCTCCTCCCACCTGGTCCAGCCTAACTACAGGGGCAGAGAGCAGGGGAGGGATCAAGCCAGGTCCTGCCTGGGAAAAGAGGATGCCCTTGGCTAAAGTCCCCCTTGGGGACCTGTAGGCAGTAGGGGGAGGCTGGACAGTAGCAAAAAAAGGAGCTCCCACCAGTGGCCCCCTCTGCTCCTTGCTGGCCTCCCTGTCCCATTGGGAGGTACGGCACTGGGGCCCTGGGTGGTGTCCATGGGTGGCACACTCACTCTGTAATGGTCAGCAGGTGGCGGGACGTGTCGATGTGCAGCTCAATGTTGGTATTCTCCAGCTTCACCAGGCTGCGCCTCATCTCCAACTGCTCCTTGAAGGCCCCAATGAGCTGTGCCTGAATCTTGTTCATCTGCAGGTGGCTATCCTCCTCTGTGTCGTTGGCGGGGATCGTGGCTGGGAGCAGGAAGAAAGCCGGCTGTACCAGGAGTGGTGCTGCCTAAGCCAGGGTTGAACTCCATGCTTGCCAACCAAAATAGGGTCTGGCCCAAGGAGGAGCTCTATACAGATGTGTGGATGGATGATGGATGGATGGACGATGGATGGATGGGTGAGTGGGTGGCTGGAAGGGTGGGTAGGTGGATGATGGATGGAGGGATTGATGGATGGATGGGTGGGTGGATGGTTGGCTGGCTGGATGGATGGATGGGTGGACGGATAGATGGGTGGGTGGGTGGGTGGGTGGCTGGATGGATGGATGGATGGATGGATGGTTGGATGGATGGACAGATGGACGGATGATTGATAGATGGATGGATGGATGGATGGATGGATAGTGGGATGGGTGGATGGATGGAAAGAAGGAAGGAAGCAAGGAAGGAAGAATGGATAGTTGGATGGATGGATGGATGGGTGAAGGATGGATGGATGGATGAAGGATGGATGATAGATGGGTAGATGGACGGATGGATGGATGGATGGATGATGGATGAGTGGGTGGATGGGTGGGTGGGCAGAGGACGGATATGTGGAGGATGGATGAGTGGAGGATGGACAGAAGGATAGACGGATGGATAGATGGACAGATGGATGGGTGAAGGATGGATGATGGACGCATGGATGGATGGGTGTTTGGATGGGTGGATCAATGGATGGATAATTTAGATGAATTTAGACCCTCTCTTTGCCTGGTTTGGGGTCAGGTTACCTGGTTTGGAGGCTCAGGAATCCAAGGAGGGGTGGGGCTTGGCTAAGCTATCTCAGCTCAGACCTCATTTCCTCAGGGAAACCGTCCAAGACCCTCAACCTGGGTCCCTCTGCCACCTGCTCTGATAACACCCTGCCTTCTCCTTCACAGTCCTCTGTATATCAGTAATTAGGTAACGTTTTGTGATAAATGTTTAACATCTGCCATTCCTGCTAGAATGTAAGTTCCACAGAACAAAACTATTTTTGTCTTTTTATTTCCCCTGGTAAGTTCTGACCTAATAGTTGCCCTGTAATTAAACGATGGTTTTCCTTGCCTGCCCCAATAGATAGCTCTATACACAGTTTGTCCACACTGTGTTCCTCTGACCTTGAGGGCAGTGGTCAAGGGGTACCTTTTCCCTAAATGTCAAGCAGTCTGGGATTGGATTATGGTGCATCCAGATGACGGAATCATTGCAGTCATTAAAAAAAGGCTTTTGGGGAGTACTTAGTATCCTGGGAAATGCTCATAAAGCGATGTTCCTGACAGAGCCAGGCACACCAGCATCCCACCACCACCCTAGGCATGCCATAGCAGAACCCAAGGGAAGCCCATCATCCCCTCAGGGCTCACCATGAGACCACCATCCCCTCCATAACACTGTCCATCCTGTCACTACAGACCACCTAAGACCAGTCCCAACAACTAAGAGGCCATCAGGGTGAAAGCCATTGTGGCATGCATCCCTGTTGACCCCCAACCCCAAAGAAGCCCAAGCTTCTCTGTCATCACCTAGCTTTGTAAATTCTCCACAATGACCCCATCTTCCACCCCCACCAGTCCCCCAAGACCTCTGCTGGCCCCATGAGACTCAGTCTGCCATCAACCACAGCCCCTCTTCTTTGAAATCTTCCTTCACCCTCTTGCTCCAACAGAAACCTGAGCCCCCTAAATCTACCAAAGAGAAACAGGCACCCACGTGCTTAAGGAGGCTGTGTGACTAGAAAGCCCCAAAGTGCCCATCAAAGGGGATGGGATAAGCAAACCCAGCACGTCCACCCTATGTAACGCTCTGCAGCTGCCACAGAGAATGAAGTTGACCCAATTATGCAGACAGATGGCCTCCAAGACACATCATTGGATAAGAAAAGCAAGCTAAAGAATAATAGCTATAGTCTGATATCATTTATATAAAAACGCAAAGCCAACTACCCCCCATATACATACACACAAACCATCTCTCTGGATGCGTTTATGTGTACAAAACTGCACAGGAAAAGATCCAGAAAGGTACACATCAAAACGATAGCAGTGACTTCAAGGAACTAGAAAAAGAAGAAAAAACTAAACCCAAAAGAAGGAAGGAGAAAACAAAGATAAGAGGAGAAATAAATGAAATAGGGAATAGAAAAACAATAGAGAAGATCAACAAAACTAAGAGTTGGGTTCTTGAAAAGGTAAACAAAATTAACAAATCTTTAGCTAGACTTACCAGGAAAAAAAGAGAGAGGACTGAAATAAATAGAATTGTAAATGAAAGAGGAGACATGACAACTGATACCACAGAAATACAAAGGATCATAAGAGAGAACTAGGATCAATTACATGCCAACAAATTGGGTAATCTAGAAGAAATGGATAAATTCCTAGAAACATATGACCTGCAAAACCTGAATCATGAAGAAATAGAGAATGAACAAACAATGAGTAATGTGATTGAATCAGTAATCAAAAACCTCCCGATGAAGAAAAGCCCAGGACCAGGTGGCTTCGTGGGTGAATTCTACCAAACATTCAAAGAAGAATTAATGCCAATCCGTCTGAAACTCTTCCAAAAAATTGAAGAGGAGGGAACATTCCCAAACTCATTTTACAAGGCCCGCGTTACCCTGATACTAAAGCCAGATAAAGACACTACAAGAAAAGAAAACTACAGACCAATATCCCTGCTAAATATAGGTGCAAAAATTCTCATTAAAAGAGCATACAGGGCCAGCCCCGTGGCTTAGCAGTTAAGTGTGTGCGCTCTGCTACTGGCGACCCGGGTTCGGATCCCAGACGTGCACCGACGCACCGCTTCTCCGGCCATGCTGAGGCCGCGTCCCACATACAGCAACTAGAAGGATGTGCAACTATGACATACAACTATCTACTGGGGCTTTGGGGAAAAAAAAAAAAAAAAGAGGAGGATTGGCAATAAATGTTAGCTCAGAGCCGGTCTTCCTCAGCAAAAAGAGGAGGATTAGCATGGATGTTAGCTCAGGGCTGATCTTCCTCACAAAAAAAAAAAAAAGAGAGAGAGCATACAACATGATCAAGTGGGATTTATCCCTGGAACACAAGGATGGTTCAACACATACAAATCAAATAAATGTGATATACCACATTTAGAATGAAAGATAAAAATCACGTGATCATCAAAAAAATGGGCAGAGGATATGAACAGACATTTTTCCAAAGATATACAGATGGCCAACAGACACATGTAAAGATGTTCAACGTCCCTAATTATTAGGGAAATGCAAATCAAAACTACAATGAGATACCACCTCACACCCGTCAGAATGGCTATAATTAACAAGACGAGAAATAATAAGTGTTGGAGAGGACATGGAGAAAAGGGAACCCTCATACACTGCTGGTGGGAATGCAAACTGGTGCAGCCACTATGGAAAACAGTATGGAGATTTCTCAAAAAATTAAAAATAGAAATATCATATGATCCAGCTATCCCACTCCTGGGTATTTATCCAAAGAACATGAAATCAATAATACAAAGAGATCTATGCACCCCTATGTTCACTGCAGCACTATTCACAATAGCCAAGATGTGGAAGCAACCCAAGTGCCCAACAACTGTTGATTGGATAAAGAAGATGTGGTATATACATACAATGATATACTACTCAGCCATAAAAAAAGACAAAATCATCCCATTTGCAACAACATGGATGGACCTTGAGGGTATTATGTTAAGCAAAAGAAGCCAGTCAGAGAAGGACAAATACCATATGATTTCATTCATACATGTAAGATAAACAAACACACGGATAAAGAGAACAGACTAGTGGTTACCAGAGCGGAAGGGGAGGGTGAAAAGGGTAAAGGGGCACATATGTATGGTGATGGATAAAAACTAGACTATTGGTGGTGAACACGATTCAGTCTATACAGAAACTGATATATAATAACGTACACCTGAAATTACATAATGTTATAAACCAATACAACCTCAATAAAATAAATTTAAAAAATAAAAATAAATCATATGATCATCTCAATAGATACAGAAAATGCCACTTGACAAAATTCAACATCCTTTCATATAAAATACTATCAACTAAATGAGTATAGAAGGAACATACCTCAACATAATAAAGGCCATATATGACAAACCCACAGCCAACATCACACTCAATGGTAAAAGGTTGAAAGCTTTTCTCTAAGATCAGGAACAAGACAAAGGTGCCCACTCTCACCACTCATATTCAACATAGTACTGGAAGTCCTAACCAGAGCAGTCAGGCAAGGAAAAGAAATAAAAGGCATCAGAATTGGAAAGGAAGAAATAAAACTGTCTCTGTCTATAGATGACATGATCTTATGTACAGAAAATCCTAAAGACTCCACCAAAAAACTGTTAGAACGAATCAACAACTCATTAAAGTTGCAGGATATAAAATCAACATACAAACATAAGTTGTGTTTCTGTACATTAATAATGAACTACCTGAAAAAGAAATAAAGAAAACAATCCCATTTACAAAAGCATCAGCAAAAATAAAACACTTAGGGATAAATTTCACCAAGGAGGTGAAAGACCTACACACTGAAAACTATGAGACACTGACGAGAGAAATTAAAGACACAAATAAAATGGAAAGATTTCCCATGTTCATGGATCAGAAGAGTTAATATAGTTAAAATGTCCATACTACCCAAAGCCATCTATAGATTCAATACAATCCTTATCAAAATCCCAATGGCATTTTTCACAGAAGTAGAAAAAATAATTCTAAAATCCATGTGGCACTACAAAAGACATTAAGTCTTTGTAGTGAGAAGAAAGAGTCTTGGAGGAAGAAGAACAAAGCTCAAAGCATCACAGGTTCTGATTTCAAACTATACTACAAAGCTATAGTAATCAAAACAGCATGGTACTGGCTTAAAAACAGATACAAAGACCAATGGAACAGAGTCAAGAGCCCAGAAATAAACTCATGCATATATGGTCAATTAATTTTGATAAAGGTGCCAAGAATACTCA